CCAGGTGCCCCCCCCCCCCCCAGCAAAATATCACTTCACGCCCGTTGAACTGGCTAAGGGTCTACGCCCTGAGATGTGAGCCAGTCCGACCCTGCATGAAGCTACACTTCGGCTGTAGAGAGTTTGATTTAAAAATTATAAGTGGATTCATTACATCACAAGCATTGCATAGAAGGATCCAGACACTTCGAACAGAAGGGAGGCAAAAAAAGGGTCTGGTTGGCTTCCTCCAGGAGAAATTAAAAATTTTGAAGTATCTTATATGCAATTCGAATAAATTAAGTCAAGAATAACTATCAATTATAATCGTCCCCCTTTCTTCATTGCTCAGTTCCTTCCTGCCTTCTCTTAATTATTGGATAGGCGGATCCAGACGCTTAGAACAGGAGGAAGACGAAAAGAAAGGGCGTCTAGTGGGCTTTCCCCAGAGAAAATTCAAAATTTCGAAGCATCTAATTTGCAATTTGAGTCAATTTGTCATGGAAAATTATCAGATACAAGCGTCCTCCTTTCTTCCGTTCTTTCTTTCCCTTTTTCTTCTTTCTTTTTTGTGGGCAATGGGGAAGGGGAGGGGCATACGCCCCCCGCGACTCCCACTTAGATCCGCTTATGAATCATTAGTTCCTCGAAAATGTTTCATCGCCTCGAGGGCAATATTCGTTGCGTCAAGGATGCGGTCCACGTGCAAAATAAAATGTTACCTAGTTATGATGACACATTCTACTTATGATGGAATTTTGTTTCTTAAGATGAAATTATTTGATACTATCTCACGTCTTTGTGCGATAAAAAAAAAAAAAAAANAAAAAAAAAAAAAAAAAAAAAAAAAAAAAAAAAAAAAAAAAAAAAAAAAATCCTGTCAAAGTACATTCTTTCTTGGAAAGTTGAGTCAACAAGAAAGTATAAAGAGTAATGAAAATGTAATGAGTAAAAATGAAATTTTCTGAAAAGCAGCGTGCGCAGCGAAAAAATGCATGTTTTATTGGAACTTAGCAGCCAAAAATACGGAAGAAGACACACACTTAGCCTGCCAAAAAACTATTTCCCAGTTACGAAAGTTTCTTCGGGCAAACGATAAAATCCGCCCCTAAACCCACCAATGGAAATCATAGGTGCTTGATTTTTTTTTTTTTTTTTTTTTTTTNTTTTTTTTTTTTTTTTTTTTTTTTTTTTTTTTTTTTTTTTTTTTTTTTTTTTTTTTTTTTTTTTTTTTTTTGCGTCCGACGCCAAAACGGAACGAGAACAAAAATCTTGCTCCAAATATCTGATGGAATTTACCCTGATATATTTTGGCTACTGAACTCAAAGATGACCATGCTTTCTTTTTTATCTATGAATAACCTTTTTTCCGGAAAATCAAATTTTCTACATAGGGTGTCCCAAAACAACTGAGACCAAGTCTGTAATTCGGAAAGTATAATAGATATCAAAATGCGGTTTGTGGGAGGTTGTAGTCCATACTATTAGCTGTTAAAGCTCAAAATTTGAGCTTATTCGGTTGAAAACTCAACGAGTTATAACATTTTTTTGGAGACGAGTTGAACAGAACCCTCCACTATTTTCGAGTAATATTTTTCATTTCGCGAACTGTTCGTGAGTGGCACTGCAGATCGCGACGCTGTGGATCAGGTGGAGGGATGAAGTGGTCACTGTTCTAGATGCAGTTTTTTTCCTGTTAACATGCGTTTTCATCGCAATTGTCCGCGGGAAAGCTCAGTGCAGCCGAAACCGTCAAGCGTAATGAAGTGTTTTCTCGGGGAGCGCAATGAGTTCGCCCGCTGAGTTGAAACAAGCTGCCGACTCTCGACCCTCGAAAAAGCATTTATGCCAACGAAGAATGGAACTTTTCCCAAGTCGATTTAGTCCATAAGCAACTGTAATCTCATTTCAAGTATCGAAGGCACAAAGGCCACGGCGAACGCAATAGCGAATGGCAAAACGTTCTTCTTGCTTCAACTCAGCGGGCGAACTCATTGCGTTCCCCGAGAAAACACTTCGTTACGCTTGACGGTTTCGGTTGCACTGAACTTTCCCGCGTACGATTCCGATGAAAACTCATGTTAACAGGATAAAAACTGCATCTAGAACAGTGACAACTTCATCCCTCCACCTGATCCACAGCATCGCGATCTGCAGTGCCACTCACGAACAGTTCGCGAAATGAAAAATATTACTCGAAAATAGTGGAGGGTTCTGTTCAACTCGTCTCCAAAAAAATGTCACAACTCGTTGAGTTTTCAACCGAATAAGCTCAAATTTTGAGCTTTGACAGCTAATAGTATGGACTACAACCTCCCACAAACCGCATTTTGATATCTATCATACTTTCCGAATTACAGACTTGGTCTCAGTTGTTTTGGGACACCCTATGTAATTGTCAAAATTCCCTTCTTGCCCACGTAATGGATGTGTACGAGTACTTCAGTTGCATTTGAAGCGTAAGGGCGTGTATCGTCGTGGTGTTACCGCGTGCCCTACATCTTCACTGCCGTGCTAAGGAAGAACGCCGTATGGACATTCGAGAGTTGCCAAAATTCCTTGGATAAAATGTTCATTTATAAGGAAACTTATTAATATTTTTCCTTGAAAGTTTCAGGGATTTTAGATCAAAATACAAAGAATATTCTCAGAAAAATTGGAAGGAAAATATGCATAAGTTTACGAGGGAATTCGTGTTTTATCGGAGGAAATTTGGCAACGCCTAAAGGTTCATACGGCGTTTTTCCTTAGCACGGCAGTTAAGTTCTTTCAACTGTAGGTATCAATGGCAACGTCTCTCTCACGAGACATACTGATGCGAATCAATTATTCTTGCTGCTTACACAATTTAAAAGTTTACTTGAAAGTGTTCTTTCATTAAAGAAAGAAACGCTCGTTAGATTGGTAATGGGATTATCCAAAGACCTCTCTCACACCGTGAGTTAACGTCATTAGTCGTCAAAATTTATTGCCAATTCAAGGTGCTATTCAATTATAATAAATAACTTCAACGTGGTTGTTCTATGATTTCTTACGAGCAGCTCCCTTTCAGTGTTTAGCGGCCGCGTAGCGGCCTCAGGCCCCTAGTTTTATTATAATTTCCTTAGAAATGACTGTTTTGATTAATCGGAGGGGACTAAACTCATGCTCCGCTAAAAGGAGGGGAGTGTGCCTTCTCCTTGACAATCTACGCAATGTCAATGAAAATACGTTGTCTTATGAAAATGTAATCCTCAGATACTTGAGAAGAGACGTGAGAATTCTCGATGTTCTCGGCACCCCACCCACGTGAGTGCGTCGTTTTTGACCCCCTTGCGAACCTTCCTCGTGAAAGAAGACTCCGAGGGGCCGAAACCCATGGGTCTACTTCTGTCTGATCAGTGAGAATCCAAATGATTTCGTAAAGACAAGGGTTTGATAATAATTTAAAAAAAAAAAAAAAAAAAAAAACGTAACGAGCATTTTTGAATATTTCCATTTATGACAAAATAGAAAATTATGAAGCTACATGGGAAAAATAATGACAAGGAAAAACACTTACTCTCAACGTTTCACAGAATTCGAATAACTAAAAATTGGAGCAATACAGGAAAAGCATGAATACTTCCGTTACTTACGTTTAAAAACATTAACTTTTCTCTTCTCTACTAAACTTGTTTCCTCAAAAATATTAAATGTTCCACACTTTTGAGACACTAATGTGCACAAATATTCGTGCACATCATGCGTGTGTTCATTCCTATCATCTTGCTTCTTTCGTTTAAGAATAAAATGAAAATACTAAAGTCAGATGTATTACTTAAAAATAGGCAATTAGAGTATTTAGGTATGTTTGAACTAAGCATAGCGTTTTATAATTACAGCTGTTCATGCCCAAGCAAGGTTATTAAACACGGTATCATCTGTCGCTCTATGGAAGATCATGCTTGTGATCAAACGGAATTCTTTCGAGTAAAAACAAGTTACTCGTGCGAGTGCCGACTCATACAAAGGCTGTACCAAAAAATCTCAGCGTTGACCCACTTTGCGCAAACTACTAAAGATATTTTTATATGGTTTGCATAATCCTGTGCTTATTTATCAGCTTTCTAATCGAGTCTTCGTTGACCTCATTGATGAAAATTCGCATTTCGAACACACTGTAAATGAAGTGTGAAACCTTTTAGAAGCAAAATACGACTAATCTACGGCGAGTCTCATGAAAGAAAGTCAAAATGTGTGGAGCCAAAAGCTCAGCTGATCCGAGATAGGCTTTCTCATAAGTGCGGATATGTGTTTTTGCCATGAGAGTTTCCCTTCGAAATTCAAACACTGATGGGTATTGCTGTTTCACCCTCATCTTCATGAGCCATGGAATACCTACCTCTAAAATTTTGAGAGGAATGACAGTTTCTTGGGGGATAAAATTGATAAGTTAGTGGAAGCACATTTTTCAGGTGATCCAAAGACTTCGACGAGGCTTTGAAAGTCAGCTTGTCAGTATCTTCGAGCTCAAAAAATCTGGCTCGGCCACCAACTTCTTGACAATTTTTAATTTGCTGAGCTCCTAGTGTAGAGAGTGATCAGAGTTCATGAAAACTTTAAAGGATTACTCAATTCTTGCTTCTAAAAGGCTGTAAACTTCAAATCCAGTGTTCATTTTTTACAGGGTGGAGGTGGAGAGTGAAAATGACTCGAAAATTCCGGAGGGGTTTCTTTTAAGAGGCGCCTAAAAATCGCCGTGTAAATGCGAATTTTCATCAAATGAGGTCAACAAGAGCTCGATAGAAAGCTGATAAAATAAGCAAATCGCAAATCGTGTTTCAATACCTGTAATTGCTCAGAGCATGCCAATTCTCATTTTTTTTTTGGGGGGGGGAGGGGGCAGCCTTGTGTATAAAACCACTAGATATTATTTGTTGACAGGACAGGAAACCCAAAGAAGATCGCTATACTCGTTTTCTTTATACTAAAAATACACGGATACGCTTTTAGGTAGATCAATCTGTATGTACTGGATATATTGTTGCAGAAAATCCTTGAAAAATTCGATAAGGATGATGGGGTATTCACCTAATTGACAACATGAAATTTCGGCGCTACCGGGCATCCAACAAAGGCCCAAAAGTCAGCCTCACGTCGTTAATTGATCACACTGATTTCATCATGAATTCAGTTGTCCTTCAGCCTTTAATCATGGATGCTTCAAGGCGTCTCTTTTCCACATGTTACTGTTCAAAACATAAGCGGCAAAATCTTCTTGGCAACCACGTTACATATTACTCTTTGTTACAGTTTTCTTCCGTAGCAGTTATTTTTCTTCAGTCATGGTGACGGATGATGATTTCTTTCTCCTTGGTTTGTTTCTTCAATGTATGTTCGGTCTCCGTTTGATCGTTGCTTGTTTTGCGTTCGTTTTCGTTATGGTGCTTGTTTGCTCGTTGTATCTCTTTTGGGTTTGACGTTTGTTTTGTTCATCTTTTGATGAGTCTTGTTTTTCATCCGCGTTGGCTTGGTGTCTGTCTTTACGCACTGCTTCATTATACCGTTGTAGAGCTTTCCTTTGTCGATGGCTCATTGGTGGTCGGAAGCTCATGTTTTTCCTCTCAAATGTTGGCTCGTATTTTTTGGTGGCCTTATTATGTACGTTATTTCCTTGCCTCTTCGTTACTTCCGCATTGAATCCATTTTTTTGAAAATTTCGCCTCTTTCCGAAGCCATAGGTTTTCTGGTTAGTTTCTTCTAGACGGTCTTTGCTGCTTGTAGCTGAGGTGGGTTTTCCGTCCGTCTCTTCATCTTCTTTGCGGAATGCTTCTTTTTTAATTGATTCGATCTCGCTGTTTAATTTGGCCATCTTTAATAAATGTTGTTGTTCCTCTCTTTCGGCATGTTCTTTGCGTCTAACCTTTTCCAAAGTCTCTTCAAGTCTCTTCTGGGTCTCCACCTCACAAAGAGGACACCGCCCTAGGCTTTTAGCGTGACATTCGACCATATATGTGTGCTCCTGGAAGCACTGGATTTCAATAGGTGCTTTGCATTTTACCTTCAAATGGTTGGACGGCAAATGACATTTGTCTGGACATTTGTGGCCACAGGACTCCAACATCTTTCCGCAAGGCTCTTCACAGCCGCCAGCTGAACATTTGATTTCGAAGTCCACCGGTTTCTGTAGAATGTTAGTTCGGTCAGGATGTCGCTCACAATAAACTGGAAACCCATTATAAACATGCGAGCCAGCCTTCAGCAGCCCGATGAAACGTGTCCAAAGACTTCCGCCTTTGCGCGCGCCCATGAAGTGTTCAGCATTGCCTATTAAAATCAGGGCATTTCGAGCACGGGAGACAAGAACATTAAGGCGCTCTGGAGCAAACATAAAACCGATATCACCAGCCGCATTACTTCTTGTCAGCGATGCGATGACAATGTTTGCCTCTTCTCCTTGGTAATTGTCGATTGTAGATATTCGCAGGCGAGGTTTATTAGCTTCGTTGGTATCCTCTCGGTCCCCCATCAAACCCGCACGAGCTAGATCATGTGAATCGAGGTCATTCAACAGAAGGTCATGGTCGACACTCAACTCATCAAGCAACAGACGTAGCTGACCAAGGTAGGGCGTCAAGACAACGATATCCTCCGATGTGTACCCTTGTTGACCGAGGTAACGGACGCACTTTAATGTCATCTGTGCTTCGAAACGATTTTGTTTCGAAGTGGTGGCTTTCAAGTCTCCAAACTCACGAGCGACTGACAGCTCGGTTTCGGGTTCACTATGGTTTACAAAAATTATATTGTCCGAGAAACCGCGGAGGTTCGGCCTACCATGAGTATCGCCAGCGTCTTCCAATTCAGGATACGTCATTTCCCGGATCAAAGAGGAGATCTCGGGTCGCATTCTATGTTGTGTGAAAAGCGTTTGAAGAGGAAATCCTTTCAAAATAAGCCTTTCAAATAAAGAACGGTTCAGATCATACCCCGACTCTTTCTCAACACTCAGTTCGAAATTGACTCTGGGTCGTAGTTGTTTATGATCGCCAATTAGGATTAAATGCTTAGTCTTAGGGCTTAGAGCTGCAAGCACATGACTTTCGAGGATCTCTCCCGCTTCTTCGACCAATAATACACCTGGTGAGATACGATTCAGGAGATCGCTATACTTAGCGGCAGCCGTGGTTGTGCATGCTATAATTCGTTTTTTCCGCAAGACAGAAAGATCTTTCAGCAAAAATAAGCTATCTACCATTTCGGTTGTAGTATTATAACGCTCTCCCCACTTTATGACTTGAGCTGCGCGTTCTCTTGACATTTCATACCTCCACTGACCCCATTTTTTACGTCGAAGCGCGGGATTCATTTTCCAAACAGCCTCATGTTCGAGGGGTATCTCAGATTCGTAGATGCCAGCGTTCAATCCTTGAGACCAACGGTGTATCAAGTAGTCATCTCTTACCATGTTACCATCTTCTGCTACCCGAATCATGCCAAATTTTTCTTTTGGAATTTTAAAGGCGTGACAATAAGGGAGCTCATCGCTCCATGTTTCCAAGAATTCTAGAACCTCTCGATAAGGATATCTTCTACGGACAAAGCGGTCAAAGGCAATACGCAAAATATCTCCATCTTCTTCCAAATCCGATTTCCCTTTGTCGACCATTCCATTCTGCATGTCGGTGAACCTAGAGGGCTGCTCTTTCAGAGCTAAACTTTTAGTATGAATGGTTGCCTTGTGACTTGAACCTAAACGAACTATGTCGGTGCGAGAAATTCCAAGATCCAAAAGGTCTTTTACAAAATCGTCTAGAGCATGATGGGTGTAGCAAACGACGAGGATTGTCTCTCCACTATATCGGTAAATGGCTCTACCGATAAGAGCTCCGATAAAAGATTTGCCGGTGCCCGGAGGGCCTTGTATTAATGCGACTCTCTGCTGGAGAGCTGCTTTAAAACATTCTTTTTGAGCACCGTCTAGAACAATACCTGAACTCTCTAGTTCGACCATGGGTAAAGGATCACTTGAATTATTGTTACACTTAAGGCTTTTTAGTCGCTTTGTTACGGAGGAACATTCGCTGGAGGAAGAGCACTCGTTAGAGGAAGATAATTCATCAAGGGAGTAAATTTCATCAGAGGGATAATTTTCATCAGAGGAAGAATATTCATCAGAGGATAAACATTCATCAGGGGTAGAACACTCATCGGATGAAATTCGTTCATGAGGATGTGCAAGACTATATTTTGGGGGCAAAATATCATTACTGGCTTGCCAAGATACAATCTCTGGGCTCAAAGCGAGTTTCTTCATTTTCTGCAATTGCTTTAATACAGGTTCATAAGCGAAAATGGCACAACTAATCAATACTAGACGTATGCATGGATAAGCAGTCTTTTTATTAAGCTTCAATAGTACCTCTTCTAAATTCCTAGCAGGAAGCTGAACACACAGAATAGATTTCTTAAGAAGCTCCTCCTCTCGAACTAGAGTGCCAAGAGTGACAAACTCACGGCCAACGTACAGGCAGACAAAGGTACCAGTTTTTAAAAACTTTGGTCTAGTTTTGAAATAATTTGCACGCTCTGCAGGTTTTAAGTGACGTAATTGCGGTAAATCATTTTCACAACGAAGTTTTACGGACCATGGTAAGCGTCGATCGCAATGCACACCTACCAGAGAAAGGTTCCGAATTTCGAGAGGTTTCCTACCCTTCTGTTTAGGCTGCGTAACCGCTGCAAGATCCTCACGCAATTCGCAAAGCATGTCCTCACGGAGCAGGCGGAATTGACAGTCAATATGACTAGCAAGAGCATCTGATTCTTGAGCTCTGTCCTCGGCATCGCAAGGCCTGGGCAAGTATCTAGCCGTTGCTTTCAGCTCATCTGGGGTCGGATAGATGGAGATCCTGTGAATCTCAGGAAAATCATTGTCATGTCGTCCACCAGGGTCACGTTGTATAATCTTCAGAACAAGCTCCTCCGAGCCTGAGCTCCCAGCTATTTTATCGGCGATTTGCTTGATTAGTTCTCCTTGGCTCTTGACATCGTACGAGGAAGATTCAAGGAGAACTCTCTGAATAGACGGGTCTCGTGCTACAGACAAGTAAGCGACGGCTTCCTTGACCGGCAAATAAAGCAGTTGTACAAGAAGCCATGAAAATACGCCAAGAGCACGTTCTTTCAAAGTCCGATCGTGTGCCGCTTTGACGAAACTTTTCCACGTCAAAGGGGCTTCCATCAGCTTTGCAATGATCTGCCGAACCGCTTCACCATCCTGGATAGTTTGTAGATCCGGTGCTTTGATGTACTCTAAAAACGAAGTCAGCGGTCCGTTAAGAAAATCAAGGGAGGTGTCACAGCTCAAAGCTGACAGTAAAGCCTCCAGACCATGCGGGCTAGACACTAAACATGAAATACTTGTTACTACCGGAGATTGTTCACAAATCGATTCTAAAAACAGGCTCGCGTTGATTGCGGTAATAGCCTTCTTTCCATGAAGAACTGCGTCGAACAAATTTTTCAAACGTTGGGCTCGTATTTCAGCCATGCTTAAAAAATTATCCAGTAACCACTATTGAGGGGAGATCACAGGAGAAACAAAGTAGTATGGTAATCGCTTGGGACTTACTCGCATTAAATGATATTGATATCGATCCAATCAATTATGTGTGTCGGAAGTTGGTTGTTTGAGTGCAGGAATGTCACATCCACTCATCCATGAGCAATCCAAGAGGCAAAGAAAACCTCATAATCTTCTCACAGTAATGCATAATTTCCAGACTAAGCCTAGAAATCAAAAAAAGAAGACTTGTTGGAGCGAAGAAATTCACACAAAAAGATAACATGCAGTCAAAATTGATAGAGTCATCCATATAGTAACGTTAGGTACCTACGCTACAAACGAAAAGGAGGGCTGTAGGGGTCTTAGTTCGCTTTACAGGAGGTGGAGGTCAGGCCTATGTGACTTCACTTACTTTACTTGAGACTTAATCCCTACTTTTCTTCCTCTTTTTTAATCACTTTAAAATTTAATTATGATTTTGATTTGTTAAATTAAGGGCTGCAAGTTAAATCCAATTTCAAAATTCCTTGACTTTCCCATGACTTTTACGATGAATCCATTAAGCACTAGCGTTGAAAGTTCCTGACTTTTCCCAGACTTCTTAGCAAGAAAATAAAAAAAGGTTACTTTAAAAACCAGCTATGCAAACTTTAAAGCACCGCAATCGTATGTATGAAGTTGAAACTTTCAAATAGCCCAATACAGACATAAACGGGGGAGCGCTGCTAAATTCTGACTTTTACAGTTAATCTTAATGGCAATATCAAAATATTTTTCGGCGAAGAGAATCGAGTAAAAGTTACTGGTCGTTTCACCATGATGTTCGCTGAAAACACAAAGACTACATTGAAGTCAATCGCCTTTGGAACATTGCGCTGAACTAAAATATGTGATACAACTATATCAACTCCTGAGCCGCTCTTTCATCCATCGAATAAAAGGCGAACTCGATTTCTCACTCCCGTTTTGATTCATTCGGATTTATGTTACGGGCAACATAGTTGTCGGGCATCGTCGATGCTGCCCAACTTGCTATAAGGGCATCATCAACGATGCCCAAAATGAACGGGCAATGTGTGGAATCTCGGGACAAAGCGAAGAACGCCCGAACATCATCGACGTTGCCTGCAGAGTAGCGGGCATCGTTAAAAGTGGAAAGAAGTCGGGCAGTGTCTGGGCTCGAGAGATCGAACCAACATACTATAAAATGAAAAATTTTCAACGAATTTATTTTTAAACTGCACTGCATTCATGACTCCGGAGTTAAAATTAAGCGAGTTAGAAGACAGCTAAAAAACACGTAAAAGTTAAAAATAAATAGGAGCAAAATGCACTGAGCCACCGCCAGGTTCCGATCAGAGAAGGACATTGATGCTCAGAGACAAAGCTTCCCAAAAATCGGACTACTTATGTTGTTACCCGCTATTTGGATAAGAAAATCCCAATGACACGTCTATCAACTCAACTCGCAACGACTTTGCCCGATAATGCGCGGGCATCGTTGCCGGTGTACGCCAAAGACAACATATGCCCGGCCATTGATGCCTAATCGCTTCTGATTGGGAGTCAGACGGTGCCTAGACATGGACCAAGAGAATAAATATTATTGTATAATAATATTTATTAATTAATTTATTATTAATAAATATTTATTCTCTTGGTCCATGGTCTAGATTGCTAGGGTATCGTCAACGATGCCCCAGCTTGTTGGGTACCGTCGACGATGACTGGGAAAAGACCTACTTTGCCCGACACCCCTACGTTTGCCCGGAACATATATGTATATGAGCACTGCGGTAGGGCTGCATTCTAGTTTTTTGCAGCAATGCCAATATCAACATATTTTTCAGCGGGGAGAATCGAGTAAAAGTTACTGGACATTTCGTTGCGACACTCATTAAAAACACGATGATTACGACGAAAGACATTCGTACCTGGACATTAAGATAAACGATGCGTGATACAACTATTTCAACTCCTGAGCTTCTTAAATTTCATTAACAGAGTTGCAAGTTTAATCAAATTTCAAACTTTGCTGACAGTTTCCTCACTTTTTGGCAAAATCTAGGGCGCTGAAACCATGACTTTGCATAAAGAAAGAAGTTTATTTAAAAACAGCGACGCAAACTTTGAGCCTAATGATCGACCTCACTTTTTGGGGGACTCTTTTTAATCATTTTTGAAAGGCCCTATAGCAACATTTTAGGCTTTGATTCAGCCACTCGAGCTTTCCGCCTCCGAAATAAAACTAAATAAACGTCGAATTCATGTGATAATTTTTATCGGCCAGTGTCAGTTTGCATGAGTCACAGTTATCTTCGATGACCTGCCTTGAGGCAGGTGCCTATCTTCTTGGTCCCACCGCAGCGTAGGCAGTTGTATGTTCTGTTTTCATCTAATTCTTTCTTTGTAATCTTACAGATAAATTCGGGATGCAGTTGTGAGGTAGGGGCGGAAAAGAGGGAGGAGCGAGGATGAAAGAGAGATAGAAAATTACTTGTTTGAATTTACTTTCGGTACTTCCGCCAATTAAGAACTTGAATTGTTGTAATTAAACACCAATCCGTTTAAAAAAAATAAAAATTCCGCTGTATACGATGAATTCGCGCTAGTGCCTACCTTTGCATGAAAACTCTAACTTGGGAGGCATGACTCTAATTTCCATTTAAATGCTACTCCCTTATCACGGGCCGTTTCTTTTTTTCTCTAGTCCTTTTTTAAAAAATAATAAGAGGGGCGTAGTATTCAAAATTTTCTGGGAAAGGACCTCCAGACTTCCTTCACAGAGGGTGGCCCTAAATCTACTTTTAGAGGGACCGATCCCCAGAAAATTTGGAGTCATTAGAGTAAAAAACGTTCCTTTAAAGCTTCGAAAAATATTCAATTGTAAGCGAATGGACTGTGTATTTACGATGATTCCACTCTAAGAAAATGGCAGACGTCGATTGCATTTGCAGTTCCTTCCTAAAGCTTCTTTGCTTTAGACAGGAACTCCGGCAAGAAAACTCGGGAACCCTAAGGGAAATTTTAAAAATTGAGACGTCTCGGGAGTAAATTTGAGCCGTTTCAACCGAAACTTACATACATACATACATGTCGCTTTACAGCACTCCCTCGCGCTCTACGACTCCTAACCTCCACTGCTCTAACCGCTGCTCAACCGAAACTTTCATCTTAATATAATTTTGCTATAAAGTCGAAAAAGACAGAAATGTCGCTCATTTATTTCGCTAAATGCCTTGAATTTTCTAAAGAAGAGGTAAATAGATTTCTCGGGGGGAAAGGGGGTTCCCGGAGCTTCTAGTTGTGCCCATGAGTACTGGTGAGCCAAAAAATTAACTCTCGTAAGTTGCGAAGGATATCCACCCCAAAAGCCCTGTCACGACCTCTCGTAGGAATGAACGAACAAAATTAGCTAGATTTCCCGTTGATAGCTTAGAGACAATAAAATAGTAGCCCCTTATACAATCGAGCTTTAATTTTACCTTTTCTCTTCAGCTTTTCCGGTGAGATCTCGGATTGTGCTTACGCGGTACAAACACATCACCAATTTACCAAAAGCTAAAATTAGGAGACGAGCTGGAGAGTTCCAAGAGAATTTTTTAGGGTTGATCTGTGACCTGCTCTTTCAAGCCCCCCCCCTTCTCCTTAAAAAAATCCCCATTAAGGATGAAAGTCAAGACGTTATACATTTTCTAACTTGCATTTATATGGGAATTTGAAGAAAATCATCAGGAGCAAGTTATGGCAACGATGCAATCAATGGACGAAAAAATGTCACCCGACGCGATGCGCTGCAGCATTGTTATTGGAGACCATCGGGACGAGTTTGTTCATTCTCTCGTCCGCTACAGTGAGGATTGTCAGATTTGTGAGCTTTGGACAGGGTTGCCCCAGGATTTAGAAAATGAAATTCCCTGACATTTCTCTGATTTTCCTGACACATTTTGGTGAAATTCCCTGACAGTTGGAGATGTGTTGGATGGTTAAGAAGGCATAATTGAAAATAGTTTTCAGGCAAAATTTGTTGTTCGAATCCTCAAACCCATGCTAGAAGGCAAATGAAGGTAATTTAACAAATTTTCCCTGACATTTTCGTCATTTTCCTTGATATTTTCCGGTTTCCCTGACTGTGGCAACCCTGTTCGGAGCTTTTTCTGCACAATGAGCGCTAGGTTTTAAGTTGAAACGAGAAAGAATTATGTTACACAATCTGATTTTGACGAAATTTTTTTCCAGGCCTCGAGGAAAAATGATGCAGTCAAATTTCTTCTTTTTTTTCTCAAAACACTCAGAGAAGGAGATTGTGATGGGTAGGGACATTAATAACCCACAGAATCTTGGGTATCCTTATTTGAAAATTCCACCGATTTGTCCTGAGATTTCATAAAAAAATCAATACCATATTCAGTAAACAGGCAAAGAATCATAAATAACGACGCATCGTCTAAGTCGCGTAGCGATCTTAACGTTCGTCCCGCCACCGAATGTCGGCAGGGCGGTCAAGACATCTTCGCAGTTTGACGCGCCTTCAATCCGGCGGAGCTGCAACATGCTTACACCCGTGGTCAAATAGTTGTATGTCACGCCTGCCGTAAACGAACTCAAATATCGATGCTTCCACGCGAAAATGAGCTTATTGACCTCGATTGCAACGTTGCAAGCCACAGTTAATGTTTGAATTTCTATCAATATTTATTAAAAGACACGCACAGATTATTTGAAACAATGTGCAATACTTTTACGAACGATTTCGGTAGAAATCACGGGAAATTTCGTAGCGACACTATATTTAGTCCTATTTTCCTATTTTCCTTTTATCGAAAAAAAACCATGGTCCTTGATTCTAAATCGTAGCTCTTAAGATAGTTATTTTGATGATTTTATGCTGAAAATATGAGGAGAGTCGTAAATAATGAGGCATCGTCTAAGTGTTGCAGCGATTTTAGCGTTCGTCCCGCCAGCGAGGGTCGGCAGGGCGGTCAAAACATCTTCGCAATCTGACGCGCCTTCAATCCGGCGGAGCTGCAACATGCTTACACCCGTGGTCAAATAGTTGTATGTCACGCCTGCCGTAAACGAACATGAATATCGATGGTTCCACTCGAAAAAGAGCTTATTGACATCGATTGCACCGTTCCAACCACAGTAAATGCTTCAATTTCAATCGATATTTTTTAGAAGATACGCACAGATTCTCTGAAAAAATTTACGATAGTTTTAC